GTATAATTAAGTTAATTTATAATGTATATAAAATTAATCATTCATTAGTTATAAATATAATATAAATACAGTATATCGAATATTTTTTTTTAAAAAGACAAGCATAGAATTTTTAAAAGAATTTTTTTATAAAGTTATTTTCTATGAAGAACCTAGAAATATTCTGCTAAACATTGATATGAAAAAAAAGAAATTTGTATAATTTGCAAAAGTGTTATTAATCCAAGTCTTAAAGACTCAGTTATAATTTTAAGCTGTAAACATTTTTATCATAAAAAATGCATTAGTAATACATATCTGCTATGTCAAGAACAAACTAATAGAATTGAAAATGCATCAATTCATCATCAATAAAGTAGCTATTCTATTAACTTATTATTGAATTTAGAACATGCTAACATTTCTACTTTACTTACTGAATTTACTAAACCCATGTTTACTGAATCCATTGAACTTACTGAACCTACATTTACTGAATCTACTAAACCTATATTTACTAAATCCACTGAGCTCACATTTACTAAATCTACTAAATCAACCAAACTTATTAAAACTATCAAATTTACAAAATCTAACAGTATGCTTGTTAATTCACTAAACTTACAACCTTTTTTATATCAGTTGAATATACTGAATCTATTGCTTCTGTAGATTCTACAGATTTCACTTCTGCACCTATTGAGTCAATTGAATATGCTGAGGCATCCAAGTCTACTAAATCTAAAACAACCAAATCAAAAGCAATATCTAAAAAAACACAAATGATTTAGTTATTAAAAGAACTAAACATATTTGTTAGAAGAAAATATAAAAATAATAGCAGTAATAACAATAATATTAACATTAATAATAATAATAATAACAGTAATAACATACTATCATTAATTCAACTTTATACAAATATAATTTATACTGAAAGTGATGCAACTAAGGCAAATCAAATAGTAATTAGAAGTTGGTATGAATTTGCAGATAAGCTTGATAAACAGATTAATCAAACATTAAGGAATCAAAAAAATCTAAACATAGAAGTTCTAAAAAATCAGCAACATTTAAAGTATATGATAAACTTTTAAACCATTTCACTAATATGACCCATGTTACTTTAAGAAAAAGGGTAGAAAAGGTAAATAAGGTTTATACCTTATTTAAGAGAATAGGTATTAATAAAATTGAAAGAGTTAGTACTTTTAGTGCTAACAAAATTTCAGAATTCAATATATCACAAATCGAATATATTATTAAAAATGTGGCTATGTAATTTTGATTTGATAAATTGCAAAATGTCTAGTAATTAATTGCTTATATAAATTTGTTATGTTTTGGTAAAGTTAATTTTAATTTTAAACTTTTAGATTTTTATATAATAAATTTTAAAACCTAATTCTCAATATTTTGTATAATATAAAAGATAAAATATATTAATAAAAAGTTAATTTATATTGAACTAATTGATTATATATATAGTGCCAGATGCTTATAATAGTGATAGGCCATATGTAGAGGTTGGAACTAATTTTATAATTCAGGTTTATCATATGAATTTTGTAATCTTTTGGAAATTTGTCCAATTAAATTTTAATAAATTCCAAAATATTACAAAATTTATGTAATAAATCTGAATTATTAAAACCAGATCCAACTTCTAGCTATGCATATAGGGCTAGCAATGCCAGTCTAAAAAATTTTACTATTATGTGATCCTATTAAAAAAATTTTTACTAAAAAACAATTACTTTTAGATTAGGTTGCTAGTAAGTTAGTCGGGTTCAAAAGACTATAGTTATACTAAAATTTTATAAAAAAATCTTTTTTATAAGTATGCAGAAGGCAGTTGCATAGGCAAAATGTTGAGTTATAGGTAATTTTTAACTTATTTTGTTTTTCACATTGCACCTGATCTTGAAATCTGATTGGCTAGAAAAATTTTTTAGACTGGTATTTTAAATACTGTTGGCTATGCACAGGATTTTTTAATATGAGATTATTTGGCCTACATTAGCATATTATCTGGCCTACATTAAATATTATCCAGCTTGTATTAACATTAATAGATCAATTTTTAACATTATATAAATATAAAAATAGGAATTAAATTATTATTCTAATTAATTTTGCTGGTTAATCAGATTTAAGATCTTGTATAATACAAAAATATGCAAAAAAATGTAAAACAAAAAAGCATTCATAGCTCAAAGTTTGCCTATAAGAATGCTTTCTGCATACTAACAAAAAATTTTTTTCGTAAAATTTTACTATAACTATGACTTTTTAAACCAAATATTAACCTACTAGTAGAATCCTAATCCTAAATTAATTGTGAACTAATTTTTTTAATAAGGTCACATAATCAGTAAAATTTTTTAGAATGGTAATGCTAAACATTTCGAATATAAAGGATGTTTATTACTGTAATTTAAAATTTAAAACAAGATATTATCTAATTTATAAATACTTGCTATTTATAATTTTATTTTAGATAACAAGATTAATTTCATGAATGTTACTATTTATAATTTCATTTATAGTGCATGAGTATAAAGAATATTTATTAATCTAAATATTTAATGTGTAAGTATAAAGAACATTTATTTAATTCTATTTATGACAATTGATTATAATCTTAGTATTTAGCATAAATTATTCAGATTTATAAATATTTACTACTTTATTTATTCACAATAATTTAGTGCATTAATATGAAAAGCATTTATTGTTTAAAATAAGCAAGTTCATAATACTTTAAAAATTGTACCTGTCAAAAAATTTTCTACCCAGTTAATATTAAATTACCTGATTATTCAGGTAACTCATTATGGTCATATAATAAAAATATTTATTCAAATACAATATCTATAATATTTATTGCTTGATTTCATTTTATTTAAATAATATTAATATAAAATAAATTATTCAAATATTAACTATTTATAATTTTATTTTAGATTGCATTGTATAAAGAACAATTAATAAGCTATTCAATTTTGGTAATGATATATATAGCCTGTAAGTATAAAAACATTTATTTACCTAATTATTTAAAATAAACTAAGGTTCATTAGTCTTTACTATATCTAAATGCTATATAAATAAGCAAAAAATAAATATGACAATCTAATTTTAACTAAATGCTAATAATTTTAAAGTTCTGATATATGCATTGTAGTGAGACAGTATAAATAAAGTATAATATTACACATATGATGCTGATATAAAAATTCAAAGATGAATAGTGATGTTATTGGCTTATTTGGCTTTAAATAGATTTTATAATATATAGTTAAATATACAAGCCAAACTAATCCCTAAAGATGAATAAGTAAAATAGAGCAATTGATAAAGATTTTAATATATGATCAGATAGATATATCTTTGAATAGAAGATATATTAAACCTGATTTGACTAAATTAACCAATTTTATATTATATATTATCAGAATCTACTGAGTTGTTCAAGTTATTTGAAGCAACCTAATGAATTTATAGATGGGTGACAAACAAGAACCTAGATCCATCTCTAATGATTTTTGTTTATACAATATGTCTTATTCTATACCTGAAATTCATCCAGAATTTTTTTCTTACCTATTGTTTGGACTTAAGTTCTTTTGCTCTGCTTTAGAATTAAATGCAATAAAATTTATAAGAAACAATTATTTAAAATATATTGTTTTAACAAGAAATTATTCTTTAGATTTTAACACAGGCAAATTTGCTTGCATTAATTTTTTTAAAATTAATTTTTATCATAAATTTTAATAATTAATTTTAGCAATATACTTTCTAAGCAAAAAATATTTTTAAAAACCTACTTTATAAACTTTGCT